TTTCTCGTGGGGCGCGCACTGGTGATGTGTGGACTATCCCAACTGATCCTCCTTCACCAGGAAATCTGGCGGGAACTCTGTTGCCTAAAGCGTTATAAGGCACCCGGCCCAAATGGTCTACCTCCTGCTCTATTTAAAGAGGGGGCTCTTCGCTGATTCGAGAACTCACCGCATTGTTCTCAGAATTCTTGGTAACAGAGGAAGTTCTATCATCCTGGAGTGACTCGATAGTCGTCCCCATTTTCAAAAAGCGCACGCGCACAAACTGCTCCAGTTACATTGGTATAAGTTTGGTTCCCGTCGTTTGCAAGAATCGGGTGTCCATCATTCTTCGCAGGCTATCCCTAAGGTGTGAATCACTACAGCGAGAAGAACAGGCTGGGTTCCGCCCTGGTGGCGGCTGCATCGATCAGATTTTTACACTCCGCCATGTGTATCAAAAGCCAACGATTGTTGTGTCCCTGGATACTCGTGCTGCCTTCGATTCTGTCGGCAGGGTTGCATTGTGGCATTATCTGTTAAGGAATGGTATGCCCGGGAAGTTCCCTTCTGCGTGCTCTGTATAGTCTGACCTCGCATAGAGGCTTATTGCAAGCTTTCGCCTTCCTTTGTTGTTACCAGTGGGGTTCGACAAGGATGCCCTATCTCGCCATTCCACTTCAACTCAAAATGCTGTAGAAGACTTGTTGAATGCTGGTGTTGAGCTCCTCCCAGGTAGTCAGGTGGTTGATTTGGATTACGCTGATGATATCGTTATGTTGGGTGACGGTCCGCAGGCCGTCCAACTTGCAGTTAACCGCCTGGCGATTGAAGCGTCGAAGTATGGCATGCACTTTTCACCATCCAAGTGCAAAGCACTTTTTCAAGACTGGTATACGCTCCTACCTGCACTCACCATCGATGGGGAAACGTTAGAAGTGGTACAGTGTTGTCTACCTGGGAAGCTGCATAACTGCTGAGCGCCAGGGTGGATCCGAAGGGACAGCCCAGGGAGCAGGGCGATCAGTTGCCGACGAGGAATCTGACTGTTCCTGCCGATTAAATTGTCTTTCATCGCAATGAGTCTGGGTCTTACCGCGGTGCGATGGTTTGCGTGCCTTAGAGATCTATTGTGCTATTCTGGGTGGTGCTCTTATGCACCTTCAGGGCCACTCATACCAGATTGGTCAATGGTTAGAGGCCAGACAAACAGCCTTCTGGTCCTCTAAGTTGGGTTTGTAATGTGGGTGGGTCCTTATTACTTAAGACGGACTCCTTGTAGCTAAGCACCAAACCCACTGCGCTGCGGTCGGGTTTTTGAAACAAAGGCTTTGGTTGAGAGCCCTAATCGTTCTCCTGTTTAGGCCTGAGCAACCTGACAGTATCCTGCCCACGCAATACAATGAATCTTTCCTCAAACAAATTTCTGATGCTCTGGCCACCGCAGAGGATAATCAACGGCGCCATATCTGCTGCATCGAGCAGAGTGGATAGGAGTTTAAATGCTGATGCTCAAGCCTTCCCGTCTTCTTATTCACCCTTTTGCGCTTTTTCATCCTTATAGTCCCGTTCCAACTTCACCTTTATCCCCCCGTTTTCATCCCCTCAATTCTTGGACCACCCCAGCTTACTTTGCCAGTCGGTTAGCTTCTGGTTTCAAGGCACATGTGAACGCGGAACATCACTCCTGCCCTATCGAAAAGCCCATGTCCAATCCAGCGGTCCACCCCAGTCCATCGGCGTCCATTTTGAGCTCTCGATCCTCCTTCAGATTGGCGTGCCTCAATCTACGCACATTGCTACAGCTCGGTCAACAGGCAGCACTTGCCCGAACATTAGAGACCCTCTCGATCGATGTCTGCTGCTTGTCCTAGACCCACCTGCAAGACGCGAGCTCTGTGCTCACTTTGCGATACCCTTCAGGCGATACCAGCAGTACTTGCTCAGTGCGCTTATCCGGTGACGATGCAGCTTCGAATACCGACCAAGCCGGTGTTGGTATTGCTCTGAGTCTCCGGGCTGAAGCTGTTCTGGTCGATTGGATCCCATCAGCAGCCGGATGTATGCGATTCGACTGGCCGACTCGTTCAGAGCTGACTTCATATTCAACCGCGGCCATGTTTGAGATTGCGTATCGCAATCCAGGACAGATTTCGGGTGATCCAGAATCCGAAAATGTAGATCAGTGATCTATTTAAACAAAGGGGAAGGATGCGTAGGGGACTAAACACTGAGGAGATTAGAACGTACACAGCGAGAGGGTGCTGATCTACGATGATGCGCATATGATGATGCGCATATCAGCCAGGTAAGTCATGAGAATAGAGGAAGAGTGAGTCAAAGGATGATGCTGGGATGGAACATTCGGTATGCAGGCCGAAGGCGGCGGGACACCTGAAGATGTAAGATATACTAACTATGCAAGCAAGGAGCTTGCGAGGGAAATTGCTGGATCACACTTTTACCTACTAGGTATCTGCGTAGGCGAAGCTATATATCAAGGCATTGCGCAAGAAAAGTGACTAATCTTAGGAAAAGGAACTAGAGCTGTGCAATCTTCGGAATTGCGCATAACATCCAGGTAAGTCATCGGAATAGAGACATAACGCATCCGGAATTGAAACGGGTGGACGATTTACTATTAAGCAGGTGCGAGTGAACGCCCGTAGATTAACAGTGCTTTAACAAACACCTGTAGCATGGCAAATGATAAATTAACGGTGCGTCTATACCATTCATTGTAAGTTAACTGCAGCGGTACCGAATCGGTTTGTGCCTGCCAGTTGTTCACCCATTGAATGAAGGTGTTCCAACTACCAGAGTTCTAGCAAGATAGCACACGTTACTGTCAGGCGGCCTTAATGTTACCTTCGGTAAACCCGTTGTTATCAGGTCTAAGTTGCATAAGATAATGGCTTGCTACAAGGTTAGATTATTACCAGAGCGCAAAGTTAGAATCAGTCTGGACCTTGTTCCCATAACTTGTCTTCAGAAAAGCCGGGGTCAAATATTCTGAAACACAATTTGTATTGATAAATCAACTAGCCTAGTGCGAAATGCTGCATCCATTGAGATCGATCTGATTGCCATTAGTAACCTATTTCTATGCGAACGCGTATCTGAAGAGGAAAAACTCATTGGTGGATTCAATTTTACGATTCACATTTGGAAGCACATTCCACAAATCCCCGTATCGATTTAGACGTGTTTCAAGATTCTTTTTGTTTTGGAGGATGTTTCTCATACTGAATCTCTCATTTCTACTATTGTACTCCGCTACCTCATTCTGTGTCGTACCTGGTTTCATGCAATTTATTCTGTTTTGGCTCGAATGAAGGAGGCGGGGAATGTTTACTTTCATTCATTGTGACAAGATTAGCGAAAGATTGAGAAAATGTCGCTGATCCATGTTTGTTTTACTGAACAGCGTAGCAAATAGGTGGAATGCCATTTAGTCAGTGAATCAAAAAATGGAAGATATACGGTACTCCTCACAGATGCTACTAATGCATAAATTGGCTGCAAACGGAAACGAAGTTCTAAGAACAACTTGTAAATTCATTAGTGCACGCAACAAATGTCTAAAATTCATTCAGCTCCTGACCTAGTAGGTTTGTCGGCTGGATTTATCTGTCATTTTTTGATTAGCAATGTGGAATTATTGATTGTTTTACCGTGCATAACAGTCCGGCTTTGTACAATGTCGTCAAAACACATTAACCGACTTATTGGCAACATTCCCAAGTCATTCACTGTGAACTGACTGAGGGCGTGTCCATTCTAGCAACACACAGATGAATAGACAACGCCGTACGTTGGGTTGGTTGCCCAAGTAACACAGGGATATAGCATGTCCCGTAATTCAACGCTGTCAGAAAGACAAAACTTTGGCTGGTGAACCTCCTTCTTACTTCGCTGACTTGATCTTTATTGCAGAGTTCCCACCCTAACATCCAGTCCATCAATGAGGGAACGTGAGTTATTGAGAACCGCACAGCCGAACATTTTCAGTCACCAAATCGAAATGGCCGTCTGGTAGTGTCAGTCCTGATTGGTTGACTCAGGGCTGCAAATCATATGGTGCCAGCACTAATTCTCCCACAATGAGCATCAACTGGACTGATTGTATATAGGCAAATCGAAGTTTTTGCCGTTATTGCGTTGGAATATTAATATTCCTTACCACATTATAAACCCGTATATTTTGCAACTACGCATGTCGTATATCGATAAATTTCGCTTTCATCACCTATTTCACCGTCACGTACCACAAATTCCCACTCCGGTCCTCCTATGGGACTTGTCAAGCAATTGCTTTTACGTCCGTTACAAATCATTGTTCATTGCTCAACTGTCTGCGCTGCACATCATAAGCAACCTGTCGACCGACCGACTGCCATGTATCACCGGCAGATTCAGTGCTTTTCAGCAGCCCCGTTGCACAAGTTTCTCTTTTCCTGTGGTCCATACATCTAAGTTGAAGCACTCACTTCGATGCGATTTACACGTTGTAACATTTAGAAACAATCTGGACGTAGTCGCCAAGAAAACCTTAAACTAGCTCTACTTCGCTTACTCCATTAAGTACCACTACACTTCTCTCATCTCTTAATTTGTCATCTCACTACCGTCAAGGTCACCTCATTACGCATGCCCCGAAGTGATACGGGTAAGCCGCACGCCACCATGACACTGAGTCCCCTTTCTGTTGCCTACCGTGTGCGCATACCTGGCCGTTGGGTTTGTGTATATCCCTATCCCCTCCACAATCCACTCCAGTTCACTTGCATGACACTGTCTCAGCATGAAGTCGATTTTGCCAGTGCTACCACTGCACTGATGAATGCGCACAGTGTTTCCCCACACACACACCTCGATCCTGGATAACTTGTGCGTCATTTGATGATTGTTGTCAATGCACGCTGGCCGGTTTTACAGAAGATGATGTTTACGTAACTTAGGAGCAAATCAGCTCACCCTTACTCTGCGTCACCTTTCACCTTTCCACCGAATGCATGCAGGGCGAGAAATACGATGGAAGAATGGCCGATGTTTGGTCTTGCGGAGTTATTCTGTACGCCCTTCTCGTGGTAAGTCCGGCCTACTAATCATGTCTCTCTATTGTTCGTCACCACTGACAATGGTTTCATCTCATTATCACAGCCATCAGTCAATTGTTCTACTTGGATCAACTTGGTCATTTAAACCAATTCCAAAGACACCATACTGACGTACTGAATCATGGAAGGTTTACGCAACTGTCCGCGGGCCTAGATGTTGTGCGTAGCCTGGCTTTCAACTCCCAGCGTTTAGTTATCCCTTGCTGCATTGCGCACCATATTTCCCCAGGATTAGTGTGTCCAAAGCTAATACTCTAACATCCTGGGAGTGCATCACTGACCAGTGTGATAAACTTTGCTCCCGGAAGCCGGTGACGTGGCAGAGGAATCGTCTGCCAACCATATACCATGTGCCGACTTCCCTTCCGGTTTCTTATAATTCCAGCCGAAGCTTCCAAACATTTACGAAAGTATCTGTGCCTCAAATGTCATCCAGTGGTCAGAGTGTCCTAGGCTCACTTCACTGGTACTTGTGGTGGAAAAACAACATGCACTATTCATATATGTATACGGCAGTAGCCCCAGCTCCCAACGTGACGTTTTTGGTTCTCCCATTACGAATGCACATGCGTCATCGTAGACTGCGCGGTGAAATTTCAATACGTTTATAACACCAATTTCGTTAGTTATGTCGATGGGTTCTGTCACCTTCAATAACTTATTATGTGTCTTACGTATACTGCGTATAAAAAACGTAGGTCCACTCAAACCTTATTCTGCGTAAATGTTTGTATTTCGAGGGTTACTATGAGTGGTTGGGCCTACTAAGAGCCAGATAGCGGCGAGCTACACAGTTAGATTTTCTCCTGTGTAAAGTTGGAGTCACTCAGGACCAACAACACAATACAGGCAACTATTTGGTGCCCACAGTATGCCATTCAGACTGGGTCCGTAATCATTGAGTTCATTGCGACAAGTCGGCTCCGGTAATTCGTTTGAAGAGTCCAAAGCAGATTGGCAGTGGATTACCGACGCTATTTCTGCGTCTGATTACTGCATGGTCATACAAAGTAATAAACCATGCATGGACCACATCTACTGACCTCTTCAGTCATGCCTTTAAGATTTACCTGTCCCCAATTCTTGTTCGCCCTGTTCATGTACGCGGAACGGAAGCTGAATAAAGCTCAACTTACAGAACCACATAGCGCATTTCGTCGTTCTTCAATAAGGAATTTAACCAATAGCTAAGAGGACACTCAAATGAATGCCGCAACATTTTCCTGACCAGTTGATATGAAGAAATCGCTCAACTTTTTCCAACCATATTTCACGTAAACTTCAGCTCACTACAAATTTCATTCTGGAAATTTTCTAAACAACTTCGTAAGTGCTAACTGATGTTGGAACACAAACAATGTATCCGCTTGTGACTTGTCACTAACGAGTTGGGTTCTGCTATCGGAAGACTTGGATGTATGAAGTGTGAAGAGTAAATGTTGAGGAATGTGGCCCGGGAACAGTGAAAAATACCCCCCTCCAGAAAGGAAAAGACTGCAATCGAATCTGGACTCCATAGATAAAAGCAAGGAATCGCGCAAATAAACATTTGCATTTTGGCTGTCGACGACTCTGTCGTTCTAAGTTCCTTCAGTCGACTGGCTCTGACTCTCTCGGGTGTAGACATCTGATAGGTTAATCAACGTGTGTTTTGTGAACACATTTCCTTGTCGTTTATATGCATGTGGAGGGTGCGATCCCGTTTGCAATGTTAAAAATAAGGCGCACTATCAGCCAAATAAATGAAAGCAGCAGGGCCGTTTGTCTTAGCTGGATGCCAACTGCGGCCAGCTGTCAAGTAGCTTCGCACAATCCTCCTCATGGGTTTGACTTTAATCCGTTCTGCTTCATCGTTAATTGTTCATAGAAGGTCATTCGGTTTACTTTTCGCCTTTATAAACATCCGACAAAACATCTGCATTAATGTGCATGAGAATTGTACAGCTTTGACGTAATTCTACCGGAAAGCTTCTGCTACCGTGGCTATTGTGTTTGCGATATTCGAGGGCAATGCGTTACTCACTGGACGGTTTTTCACCTACTGTTTGTGTCACACCGCCACTTTCAGCTATATCATACACTTACGGAAACACTTCGAATCAATTCCGTACCTTCTAATTTTGATCGCTGTCTTGCAGTCAGATTTACAAACCAAAGGCTTTAGTTGTGAACCCTAATCACTCTCCTGTCTATGCCTGGGCCACCTGACAGTATCCTGCCCACGTAATGCAGTGCACTGAACACTTCACTTGATTTCCTGATGCTCCGGTCATCGCAGAGGATAATCAAAGGCGTTCTGTCTGCTGCATCGAGCGGAGTGGAAATGGGTTTGGATGCTACTGCTCAAGCCCTAATCGTTCTGCTGTCTAGGCCTGGGAAACCTGACAGTATTCTGCCAACATTATACAATGAATTTATCTTCTAACGATTACTTGGTGCCCAACATTGCCCTATCTGCTGCATCGAGCGGGGTAGATAGGGGTTTGAATTCCAATGCTCAAGCCCTTCTGTACTCTTATCCGCCTCCTTACGTTTTTCCACCCTTATTGTCTCGTTCTCGCTTCATTTCTATCCCCCCGTTTTCAATCGCCATCTATGACCTTTTCTCACCATTCTTTGATAGGCGTCTATCGTCTACATTTTTTCCGATTGATTGCATCCATGGTGCAATTGAATTGCTCCATAAGGCTTTGATTTGCACCCACAAGTCAATTGAACAGTCTTTAAACGCATTTGAATTGCATCCGGTATCTTTCCGCCACACCATGCGCACGCAGTGTCCTTTGAATTGAGCTATCCCAAATCAGCCAGTTGCAGTAGATTCAATAACCCTTGCATAAATGTATTAGTTGGTGAATGTGGTGGAGACGCGTGGGCCTTCTAGCCTCCATTCAGCGACGAGTGCCTACACTGAAGCTATTTCCACGCAGCTTAGGGGCACAAGGTTGTCCAAACACGCGGTGCGACTTGGTGGTGTTCAGTGGGATGCCTTGCGAATGGCACTAGTGGGAGGGGCTGCGAACACAGTAATGCGACGCCCATCAGCGATCTTATGGCTAGCTTGGCACTGGCGCATTCCAAGCTTTTGGATGACCTACTAACGCTCGGGCATTCGATGGTACTCTCCGGATAACAGATGCATTGATGCAGATGATCAAGGGCGGTGGTGCCAAAGCGTTATGACAGGCTTGCGAGTAAAGCGACAAAAGGGGTCTGCACAACCGAAATACAGGTTGGAAGGTGGCCGTCTTGGGTTATAGAGTGACCTTCTGCTGGGAGGGCTAACGCCGAAACACTACTGCAGCAATTTTATTACAAGGCGAGTAGGCACTGTTTTGTTACAGCAAGCGTCGCTTACCGTCATGGTGGATGCGGTAAACCGACTTGATGGTCCCTTCCTACGCTAGTTGTACCTGTTAAGCCCATAATTCCGTGAGGCCGATAACACTCAATTCCCTATCTAACGGCCTGTGAACGCGTTGTTCACAATCACAGATGGCAGTACAATGGTATATAACGAGTCAACTAGCTAAAACGGCATGTCCCGTAGAATGGTCGTAATGAAGAGAGAAAAATTAAATAATGAACGTACCAATAAAAAGGAGTGTTAAATGGTGATTTAGCAGAAATATTTTCATGGTAATTGGTATACATCCATTTGGTTACAACTAATCGCTCGCCATAACTTTGCATCTTCAGTTCGAAGCGAGGAATTCCCCTTTATAATTCCCCTTTATAATTCCAACTAAGAACATCGGCAGACGAAGGTTGTGGGATGACACTATTAGGTCGACCTACTAGTGCTCGGGCAGTTTCCGTGTGTTCGGATATCAAGACAGTCACGGGTGTATGAGTGCGACTGATCCCGACCTGTGGGGCCCAAATATTATGACGTGTTTGGGAGTAAAAAGAGACAAAATGGGTCTGCGCAACTTGTCACTGAACTGTGGGTTGACAGGTGATTCCCTTGAGTAAAAGAGAGATGTTTTGAGCGTTGCTTCACTGAGAGCACTAATATCGAAATACGGCTACGGTAATTTTGTTACAAGTTGAGTAGACACTGCTTTGTTACAGCAGGCGTCACTTACTGTTATGCTATTATTGAGCTGATGTAAGTAGAAAGTGATAAGGCGACAGAATTTCTCCCTGAAGGACATCCAAGTTGGTGGTTGGTGGGTAGGAGCATTTGCCACTGACTCGTGTAATCTGAGTGCGCTCAGTAAAACAATCACTCAGCATTTGGCTGATGCAGGGATGTGTTCCTTGAATGACTGGATCTTTCGGCAGCTTTTCGCGGTTTACACAGCAGAATACGTTGTTATACTCAATACAATACGTATGCGTTGATCTGTTTCTGTTGTCAAGTGATGACAGTATAGAATGTGCAAGGCCATTCACTGCATATACAGTAGATCTCGAACTAGGACAAGTGTTTCTAAGGGGGTCATTCGAGCGGGTTTGGGGCAGCATCATTTCATGGATGATTTTTTCTTGAGGCTTCTAGGAAACAGAAGAGCAAGTGACAGGTCAAGATTTGTTGGACCCTTTTCTTGATATCGGTGTGATGCTGACTTTCCCAAGAATGGAATAGATATACACTTGATGTAGACGGCGTAGCTCTTCCTTGGTACGAACAGTGAGAGACCTCATTGAGATGCCGTATTTTTCTTTAAACGTTCTCCTTAAGTCGACACAGCGTCTTCAGATGGGGGAGGAGAACCTGTCCACGCAGACGTTGAGAGTTTTTCAAGCACAGCAAATGTCAAAGCAGAAAGTTAGATAGCTAGTCAGATTGTCACAATACTTGGACACGTCAAGGCCAAAGGAGGAACAAAGTTATTTGCATGAAACCATTCCATGAGATCGATCGATATTTTGTGAAGAGCACTGCCTCCATTTGAACCTACTTACATCAGCTCAGTAATAACCTCGCAGAAGCTACCCTAATAAAATATGCTGACGACATCGTC